ATAGGAAAATGACACGCGAAATAAATATTGATCAGTAGGGAAACGACCAATAGGGAAATGACACCATTTAACGTTCAAGGGTAGCGTTAGACTTAACCGGATAATTGATTCTGTGATATTTTTCTGAGTATCCCAACAGAAAATCTCTACCAAATCCCTCTAATACATGACACTTCACGGTAGCATTTAGAAAATAATTAGCTTTAAGAAAAATAATGCGATTAAGTGTTAGGATTTTCTGGTTACTGTTTACAGTCTAGATCTAAATGCCATGACAGAATCAACTAGTTAATGTTAACAACTAGTCAAGCCATTGGTTGTTATAAAGAGTATAAGTATCTAATAGAACTTATACGAAGTTAAGCCTTCACTTGTTTGTGATGGTATACTAGACTATTGACCATGTCGTAAATAATAGAGCTATAAAAGAAATCTAGATTAATTTAAATTAGCAAATGCTGTGTCCGTGGAATACTTAACTAACTTGGTACTTAGTACTGAAAATCGCGTATTGGATGGCGCAAGTAAGAACACGATGACAGTAGATGAGGGTTTATTTGATATGCAAAATAAAACTGATACTTGAATGCACCACAATTTATGTGATTTATGTACAATCAGATTTATTCAACATCAACTAAGTGGTCATTAATATCAATCAATCGATAATTTACACAATCATTATAGATATACAATATCATAGAATTAACTGTCAATGACCAACAGATAAAACTAATATTATTACTCCTGAAAACGTGATTGCTCACCATATCCGTAAAAATCTCAAGGATTTTAAGTGAATGGTTCAAATGTTTCATTTGCCTGACTGGCCTCATCATCTTCAGGAATATAGTTGGTGAAGATGACTTCGATCTAAAAACTCTGCACTAGTACAGCATACTTGGTGGAACTCGGATCAGTCTTTCAGGCGATACATTGGAACCATTGATGTTCAGTGGCTAAGATCTCTATACACATAAGGTTATGCTAAATGTCCTGATATAAATGGACGTCCAATGCGTGTGAAACTGTTCGTCCAAATCTTGATAGTTTCGTAAAAGATCGAATGTGAATATATATTTTTGACTGACGATTTTTCGTCTGTAAGATAATAATGATAATATCAAGAAGGAAATAACTTGAGGTCCATGCTCCAGAGAAATATGGGGAATGAAAACAAAAATAATTGAAACAGACAATTTAGATGGTGGTTGGAGGTAGTCAACAGGAAACCCTGGACCCGGCTCGGATAGCTCAGTGGTAACGTCTCTGACTGTGAAGCTGAGTGACACGAGATCGAATCCGCCAGGGAGCACCAGTTCCCTCAAGATTACAGGTACACCTTGCTGACGAGTGCCAAGTAGCACGAAACCCGGGTCCTCCAACCACCATCTAAATCTCAATACATAGTGCCCGCAGTGTCGAGTCACCTAGACTCGTGGCCACATTGCAACATGATCGATAGCATTCGATCTGCACTAATAAGGACTAGACAAGCATGACATTGATCACCACCCAGTGATCAATCAATTGTGAAACAGACAATTTCGGAAGGTGATTATCAAGTGAGTGTTCACTTTTAAAATAGATATAAAACAGAATAGTGAGTAGGAATAGGTTTATATTGTCATTGGAACAGATGTTGTCTACAAAACGTTGTGGCGAACAGACTGTTCTTCGAGGCTTCATACCTCTTTCTATACTGACTGGTTAAAACTTCCCTTTGCATTTATTCCCAAGTATCCTAACTACATTCAGCTTGCTGCTTTGAACAACTTATTTCGATATATCTATGCCTCCGTTCCCATATCGAACTGAAGGGAATATCGCAAAAGGTCTGAACTGATTTGGAGATATTATAACATTGTACAGGTAGGTGAGGGAACTATGTAGCACCGAAAATTATATGAACTTGATGCATCTCCGGATTCCTTATACGGCTGTTTTGATATTGCAAATAGTCATGTGATATGAAGCTTTTACTGCTAGATAGAAATATTCCTACCATGAAACACCAGAATATACCTGTAAAATAACTTCAATGCATAGTAACCGAGGGTCAATTTAACAGTCGATCGGGTTACAATAACGAGTGGTAGTGTAAGCAGTAATTCTGGATAACTTATACTAACACATGGAATCGGTGTAACACACTGAGTACTTCCCAGTTAATCAGAAAACTACACGAACTACCATTTATCAGGATTCATTGTTACCCTATGCTTGTACAGGCACATCGGTGAAAACTAATCTTATTGACACTTATCCACTTATTTCGCTAAGTAACTTGTACATATCTTTGTGTGTTTTCAACTTGTTTAATCCTTCACTTATATCACTCCAGGAAACTGCCTAACTTAATAATTTATTTATTTATTTGAACACATGAATATTGGTACAAGAGAGCGCCAATATATATGCGCCACACAAAACAATGAGAATTCAAAGAGAAATAGAAAGATAAAAAAGCTAAGGAGCGCAAAAAAAAGAGAACGATAACGAAGAGATTGGTGTAAGGTAGTGTGGTAGTAATGAGGGAACGGAAAGGTACAATCAGAAGAAATCTTTCAGGTAAGGGAGACACTACCACTTTTTATGAAGAAAGTAAAAGAAGGTTACAGCAGGATCGCCACTGGCTTCAATTCTGAGCCATATCTGATAACGTCTCTAGCAACTGTGTAGCACCATCCCTCAGACCCCAACCAGGGAGTCGTGAAGGACCAACAGAAGCCAGTCCTCTGCAGCTTTCTTTCGTGCCACGACACCATGTCATGCACTGACCACCTCTCCTCTTCCTACAACCAGTCCCAGAGTCGGCAAATAATGCACGACGTGGAATTCTCTGGGGCGACATTCGGAGAACATATCCAACCCACCGAAGTCGGTGTTTCAAGATGGTGACACCGATTGAATTATCATCTCTGTGCCCGAACGCACGATGCCGAACCTCTGCATTACTGACATGGTGTTGTCACTGAATCTCAGCAATCCTTCGGAGACAGCGATGATCGAACACAGAGAGTCGTCTAACGTCCTCAACTCGGAGAGACCAGGTTTCACAAGCATAGAGCAAAACTGCTCTCACCGACGCGATGTAGATCCGACCTTTTACAGCCAGACCAACATCACGAAGGCGCCAAAGGTGGCCCAGATTGGCATAAGCCGCTCTGGCTTTCACTATACGTGCATCAATCTCATCACTCACACCCCCACCAGCACTTATGCAGCTACCCAGATACACGAACATCTCGACTACATCTATCTGCTCACCATCCAGTGTGAGTACAGGATTGGAATCCTGCCAGTCTTGTAGAAGTACTTTGCACTTCGAAGGTGCAAAGCACATACCATACCTACGGACACTGATTGCCAACTGATTAAGTGCGGATTGCATGCCTTGGGCATTATCGAACAGTAAGACAATATCGTCCGCATACTCAAGGTCGAGAAGTCTTTCTCCAGGCAACAGATCCACACCACCATTACTTACATTCATCAGAGCTGTTTCTAGAATGTCATCGATGGCAAAGTTGAAGAGAAATGGTGAGATTGGGCAACCCTGCCTAACCCCACTGCTCGAATGGAACAATGGAGAGAGGTGGTTGTATGCCCTCACTCTGCCTGAGGTGTTTTTATATAGGGCTTTTAGGATGTTAATAAACTTCTCAGGCACACCCTTCTTCAATAGACAATCCCAGAGAACAGTCCTGTCCAACGAATCGAAGGTAGCCCTGATGTCAAGAAACACTAAGATTGTTGGCCTTTGATAAGTATGGCGGTGTTCTAACATTTGGCGGAGGGTGAAGATATGATCAATACACCCTCGACCAGAACGAGACCCAGCCTGCTCCTCGCGAGTCAATCTTTCTCGGGTTTTGAACAACCTACGAAGTATGACGGAAGCCAATAGCTTGGACGCAATCGGAAGTAGACTTATCCCCCGATAGTTGTTACAGGAACGACGTGAACCCTTTTTAAAGATAGGGACAACTATCGACTCATTCCACGATGTGGGTGTGGGTTCGAATCTCACCCCCTACATATACTTTGCCCCCGAGTGCCCTGGTACGGCCGAGAGTTGGGAGAGCCAGCTCTCCCTCTCGAAATACTCTCACACGGCCGCGCGTATACAGCCTCTGCCAGGGACGTCCTGCTCACTGCCTTCTCGTGGCGTGGGTGCTGCTTACGAAAATGAGAGAACGAAAAGGGAGTGTCCGGCGCTTTAACCGGATCACAAACCAATGGTGAACATGGGCTCAAGTATCCTGCGGGAACAAATGGCGTATGAACCAATCGTTGGTCACCGGCTACCATGGGATTGCATCTCCTTACGACGCTCCACTGCCTTGTGGGTTAGACCTATAGGTCAAATGCTCAGGGAGTGGTCCCCTGAGATAACCGCCTGCTTCGGTTTGGGCATCCGGGCAGTATCACAGCCCACACACAAATGATGAACTCTCTGTGCCTATGGAAACTACATTTCTCGCTTCGGAAAACAATCAATTGATTCAAATTATTATCATTAATATTATTGTCGTTATTAATACTAACTTAATAATACTTGTTATTCTCAATTCACTAATTGTTTCATAAACTTATTGTAATCACCTGATAGTGGAATTAGAAATAAACACGATATCGAAAGGTTAGGTAGCTTCGCCGCTTGTAGTGAACAATGCAAGATGTATTTGATAGTCGTCAGAATGATTAAGCCAAATTCATCGTGAAATAGACTGGAGGCTTCACTATCAGTGCACGAAGCTCCTTAAATTTGTGTGACTGAATATGTTCTACAATCAAATGCCGCGATTCGCAACAATCAGGTTAACACGAAACAAAATTCCATGTTATACTTGGTTTGAAAAGTAGATTTACAACGTAAAAACTTGCAAAATGTTGGTAGGTTAATTAAACATAAAGGTTTAAGAATTTTGCACACATATTCAACATTCCGTAGTTAACTAATCTAGTACTTGCCTATACTTTTTCTCTTCCTTTAGTCAGCACATAAAACCAAAGTTTGTTTAAACATATATACCCTTTGAATCGTACTGTGGAGGCAGAATACTTTTATCCATCAATGATTTGTAAACGAGTAATGATTGATGGTATTCTCACTCACATCGTTCTAGTTCGAAGACTTATTGGATGACCTCATATATTATTATCACAGTGATGAGATTTCATACATGTGTTGCTATTACACTTACTGAGCAGACCACGTATTTCACGCAACGGAGAACTACTCAAATTCGTTTTCGCAGTTTATTTTGATATCAACTTAATATTAATTACCATTTTTAAACAAATTTCAACTATGTTTACTTCATAGGATAATTATACTTTCAACTCGTATCTTTTGACTCATATAAAAATCACTACATAAGTTGGAATAATCACCAATGTTTTTAAAAATATGTTCTTTACAAAATAATTGAATTTCATCTACGAGTGGTACTTATGATTTACAGTGAAATTTTTTTGATAAACTGTCTTCAATAGAAAATTTGTTCACGTAAAATATATCCATAAAAAATATCATGAGTATTTCGTGCAAACATCAGGTTTTTGAGTTTAAATAGAGAGTTGTAGACCATAAACCACAGTAAACAGATGATATAACCATATTGGAATCCAATTGTTGATTTGTTAAGAGTGGGTGTTTCACTGGCGAATCAACAGCTTCTACAGATGAGTCAAATCCCAACTGACCAAATTTATTGCATCCAAAACAAAACAGGATGCCATCTTCTGTCAGACAGGCTGTATGACAACCACCGCAGGCAATCTAGCACAAAGTATTAAAAATAAAGACGTAGTAACCATCGAAAACAAACTCGAATCTAGTTATAAAATACCATACATTGTATGCAAAACATCTGACCTATTTCCCATTATGAAACACGGGTTCAGGCTTTTGTTATCCTTATCACAACTAAAACATCTGTCATCACACTATCAGTCTGTACTTTTTAATTATCATGTTTATTTAGGTAATCTATTACACTGTTATCACTGACTGATAAACTGCTTTGGCTGGTGGCCGATTAATCGAAAGTGGTTGCACAAACCTGTTTTGAATGCAATGATTGTGTATTCGAACATAGATCCCGATAATTCCAGCAATATGCAAAATCTCAAACCATATGGTAAATTCGATGGAATATTGTGGACAAACTTAAATGCTTTATTCAAGCCAACTTGATGTCTTGTGTCCATCAAGTGATCGAGAATCGAACTGTTAGTCACTCTTACCTGTCTCTTGCTTAACAATAACTGAATAGTGTTCTGATATGCGATGACGAATTTGCCGAATTATTCACTTGATATAACTGGCTCCATAGGAGGAGTTGGACTGGCAAGTACACATGAATGTGGAGAATTCAGTCTGCCTTCATTGATGACCTTCATCATCGCGTTCAGTTTGGCTACAGTGACTGTTTCCGACCCGCATTTCCTAACCTTCTAGTTACAATTTCCTTGGTAGAATCATTTAGGAATTGTAATTTTACGGACAGTACTTTCTTCAAAACGGTAGGAACATTCTGTCTTCTTTACATTTCATTTATGTTTGTTGATGAATCTGTTGCACACTCATTCCTATTAAGCAGGTTACAAACATTACTCAATTCATCTGCAATGGTGCCATCAAAACAAATCATTCTGGAGCCATGAGTCAAAATCTTTACTGAGTTTCTTTTATATCTGAATGGTACAACACTATAACGATGACAGAATATTTTCAAACTGAGGACTTTCTATGTATCCCTCTTAGTATTCCACCTACTCTTGTTATTGGTTGGATGTCTAGAAATAATATGGTGTTAGTCTGTTCTTCCTCAGGTGCAAAATTAATAGATGGGTGAATGTTATTGAATATACTAATTAAATTATCTAACTCAATTTTGTTATCCCAATTGAAATATTTATTATTTTATTCTGCCAAAATAGATCTATCATACATTTGAACTTTAAATGCTCTCGCATTTATTTTTTTAAAGATATGTCTTTTCATAACTCTATGACCTAGCCAATGTTTGTATTTATATAATTTGTATTTGAACAATAATTTCATCCAAGCTTCTTTAAATAGGTCATGTTTCGTACTTTCCCCGAATTTCTTTTTCAAATAATTTATTGATTTTAGTAGTTCATGTGTCAATTTTTACTTGAAAGGATAAGTATGTCGCTGAACGAAATAAATAAATTCTACATTACTCACAACCAACTTTCCTAGCTATAATCTGATTACTTAAGCTACTGTTGCAAATCAACAAATTCAATTTGAATTGTTCATGTTAATTAGATATTAATAGGCATATTAGGAATCAGTTTTGTAAACCATAATATGATATATGAAAAACAGGAACTAATATAAGTTCCACTTACTAGTGTCACATTAATCTCACGACAAATATAAATGAAGAAGAATCTGTTAGCATGTAGTCTACATTTTCCTCATTGGCTGACGATTTGTTAACTGATAAATAAGTCATACCATCTTGGTAAGACCTCCTGAATATGACAGATTTACAGCCGTAATAATATCTTGACTCAACAGGTTTGTGACTGATTCTTCTGAAAATGTATTTATTAAGTAATTAACAGCTTTGTAACTTCAGTGAGCTATTATAAAATATGGAAACAGTATTAAGATCTTTCGGTCACTGAGAAATATGCAAACTATTTAGTCACTTTTAAATTTGGAGAGATTCGAATACATAAGGAAATTAATTACAACCACTGGTGCTCCCCAAATGGTTTGTCCTTTAAACATGAACAAGTGATTTGTTTTGAGTTGATTGGTTGAAATTAGAGATGTACCCTGATGGACTCCAGTTTAATTATCTAAATGTAACATGCTTTGTGAGAGACCTACAAGTTTTCAACTCAACATCGTATGATGTGCACAATTTTGAGATATTTAAGACTAAGAAACAGTTGACGAATGCTACTGAGATATTAACCGTTCTCTAAATTATCCCAACTTAGGATCAAATGTGACTGATTTCTGATGGATTTGATGATAATAGGAAAGACAACATTTTGTATTGACTTTTATGGATAAACGTTCAAAACACCATTCAATAACAAATCATCGAAAAAAAACGTATTGTCTAAGTTTGATGAGTACAAACGAAAGTCTACAAAATTCATATACTAAAATTGTAAAGTATATTAAGTAAGATACAACGTAATCAGGACAAACAAAATAATAAATATAAGTAGGTGAAAAAGGCTAAAACAATTACTAATATATCACATCACGACTTTCTAAACTTGGTGTATTATGTAATACGTGCATTTATGTGCAGCATGATCTTCGTATAATTAATTATCTTTTTTAGGATTCAACAAACGTGCTCTAGCAAAATCTCGAGCTAATCTAGCATCTCGTACAGTAACCGGTGTATCAGATATTAAAAAATGTATACATAAAGCAATGAATATAAGGCAATGTTCAAATATTAGAAATATAGTGCTTGCAGTCACATCAGTTAAAATTTCTAATCGATGAATTTCTGATATTAATAAACCAGCATTAGTTAATACAGATAACCAAGCTTGTATACCTAATAGCAATAACCATATATATTGTTCTCTAAGTAATAAATTTGATTTAGGACATTGTGTTACCCAAAATAATTTGAATACATCAAAATGTATTTCAAGAAATGTACATAATATAGCTAAAATTGTAATAAATAATGGTGATGCATAAGCAAATAATACAAGATAACCATGTTGTAAAACCATTTCTAAATAATCATCAAATGATTCATAAATATCTGCGCATAATTCACGTTCAGCACGTATTTGATACACAGGTTTTTCACTATTGTGGTTACGTTTAATTAAACCAATTGATTGTTTTTCTTTCCATGCACGAAATCGATAAATTATGTATGGTATAATACATTCAAGTGTTAAGCGTCTTATTGAATCAGTAGCAAACATTGTTAATAAAAGTGAACGTAATGCCAAACGATCAGCTAATATAAAGCCTAAATAAATTAAACCACCATATGCATCAACCAATTCAAATAAAAAACGTTTTATAATCAATGAACGTTCATAATCCTTATTTGTCTGAAAACAAAGGGAGAAAAAAAACGTAAACAGATTAATAAATAATTAATATATTTGTAATATCTTAATGAGTAGAAAAACTAGATTTTCTGACATTTCGTGACTTAGTGTAAGCCACTTTCTTCAGAGAGTAAATAACCAAATTAAAATTAATCCAAATTTAAATAGTACAACGGAACCAGTTTATTCGAAATTATCAAATGAAAACTTGGTAATGATACCTGTTACATCCGAGCGAAGATTAAATCATGAGTAACTTCTGAGACATATTAATTGACTAATATTATTTATATATTCTTATGGTATAACTATTCAACAATTAAATTATGTATATTTATATTCCTCTTATTATAAGCTTTATTTTGACCTATAATTTATTATTGTACGATTTACGGTTCTTAAGCTATGTTCAGTTTATTGACAACTTCCTACCACGTTCACAGCCACATTTGGTCAAATATTGTACAAATGTTATTTACTGTTTTATGGTACGTTGTGGTCTGTCTGGTTGATATATAAACTGAGTATGTTTGAAATAAATGATGCGATTCGATTCATATTTCAGAAGCTGGTTTTGTGTTTTGGACTCAAGCGGACGGGCTAGGAGGACCATAGGACCGATAAGGACGCTAGACTGCTCATACCGGTTGAACGTCATTGGTTTTGTCATAGTGCAACGATTTGTATTTGGTGGATAAATCAAGTGATAAAAGCCGGACATAAAATCATAATAATACCTGTAAACAGATTAATATAATATTACTTATTTAAAAATAATTATTACATATTGAACATTTAATTTATAATTTTTAAGATAAATATAAATAAATTTAATTCTTTTTTATTGTGCCAACTATTTAATTATTAGTAACATGTTGTTTGATTGATATTATTTCGAAAATTAATGATTTCTAATTATAAAATCTGATTGGTAGAAATTTCACTTACAGTCTAAGATTAATGTGAAATTATAATATTGGGAAGAAATAGACTATAGGAACTTATATAATCAGGAAGAAAAATTTTTTTAAAGAAAGCAAAAATAGTATTCATTAAATAATATAGTCTAAGATGGGAAACAAGACCAATTTCACTCGGTTAGAAAAAGTATCTCATTACTTAAGGTATGAAACAAAAGATAAATTGTTGGAAAATACCCATTTGTCACTCTGTTGAACAATGTTCAGAAAATTTGTAAACAAATCAGCTGTACGATCATAAAAATCCCATCAAATGGGACCTAGTTAATCAACAGATGTCAATCTAACACTAAATTTTTATTTCAAGTTGAAATGTTGTAAACTGACCTTTCCCATTTTTTGCAGTCGATCGGAGTCGTCAACCAATGTACAATTTAAAGGACTTGCGTCAAAAATAATTCATTAAAGATTACGTATCAAGATTGTAACGCATAGAGAATTATCAACCGCTGTGTACTAATACACGTCCCCAGACCTCATCCTTATCTGGAACACGGCAACCAAAAACAACATTTAACAAGGTATACGAATTTCCGGACTAGTTCCAACGTCTCATTACAAAGGGTAAGTAATGAATAGGCGCCAATCTTACAGAAGTAATTTGCATTCTTATTATGCAAACCAAATATTATACATCCAGGAGCTCATCGCCAATTTTAAAAATGAGAGTGACAACCGCTTTCTAGCAGGATGAAAAAACACTGACTTTATCAGATCTCTCTAAACAGTTCAGTAACGTCTTAAATTTCTAGTCTTTGATTAGAGCTGGAATTTGGTTTCCTGGTTAACGAAACTCTGTAGGGAATTCTATTAGATAACCGCTTCTTTAGGCTCATCATTAATCATCTGTGAATAAGAACAAAGTAATCTATCTAACGTTGGTGGAGCCGTAAAATGTTCCTTAAAGTTCTCCACCCAATTTTTGAGACATTTTTGAAAATTCCTTATAGCTATGCCACTAACCCTATATATCGTTCAACCGACAATACGGCTCTGGTTACTAGTGATACTTTTCAAAGGTTACTAAATCAACAAATTCCTTCAAATAGGGAGTACGTTGCGTCCTCCAAGCTTCACCGTCTTTTATGCTCACAATTAACCGGAGTAGGTTGAAGGGTGCCGAAACGTTATACAGACCCTATTTAACTTGATATGGCACCTTGTATATATAACTAATATTCATCTGCGCTTTTCAACGAATTGACAATTAATTCTCTGTAATGATCTCCAGTCCACAGGGCTCGTAGACACCATTAAATTTGAAATGGTGACACCTTATGTTGGAGTACTTCAGTCGCCCTTGAATGCCCTGGTATGGCCGACATTGGGGAGAGTTCGCTCTCCCTCTCGAAATAGTCTCACACGGCCGCGCGTATACAGCCTCTGCCAGGGACGTCCTGCTCACTGCCTTCTCGTGGCGGGGATGTTGTTTACGAAAACGAGAGGACGAAAAGGGAGTGTCCGGCGCTTTAACCGGATCACAAACCAATGGTGAACATGGGCTCAAATATCCTACGGGAACAAATGGCGTATGAACCAATCGTTGGTCACCGGCTACCATGGGATTGCATCTCCTTACGACGTTCCACTGCCTTGTGGGTTAGACCTTTAGGTCAAATGCTCGGGGAGTGGCCCCCTAAGATAACCACCTGCTTCGGTTTGGGCACCCGGGCAGTATCACAGCCCACACACAAATGATGAACTCTCTATGTCTATGGAAACTACTTTTCTCGCTTCGAAAAACAATCAATTGATTCAAATTATTATCATTACAATTATTGTCATTATTAATACTATTATTGTCATTATTATTATTATTATTATTATTATTATTATTATTTCCCACAGTATTCACCCTCTTTCATACTTATACAGCGGCTCGGCTTTGGTGGAAATTCGACTGTATCTAAACGTTCTCGAGTCACTGTCCGGTTGAAAGTTGTATGTTACCATCGAATATGAGTACTGAAGCAGTTTTTCTGAAACCACGTGCACCATTCAAACTGGCTGCCTTCAACGTTCGCACACTTATGCAGGTTGGTCAACGGATAGGGCTGGCTATGTCTTTGGAAAGTCTTCATATCGATGTCTGCTGTCTATCCGAGACCCGTATTCAAGACTCTGGCGAAGTACTACAAATTCGATCTCCATCTGTCGCTTCGAAAAGCTTGTTTTACGTGCGCTTATCCGGGGACCCTGTGGCTTCTTGTCTGGTCTTGCTGGCGTTGGTGTCGTACTAAGCGCTAGAGCTGAGGCAGCACTAGTCGATTGGATCCCCATTAACAGTCGGTTATGTGCTGTTAGATTAGAAAGTTACATCAAAGTGAGAAGAAATCGGCGTGAGAAACGATGTCTTTTCGTCATCTCCGCCTATGCCCCGACAGATTGCAGCCCGGATGCAATCAAGGATTAGTTTTACCACCAGTTATCTGTTCTCCTACAGAAAGTGCGTTCGACAGACATTGTAGTACTAGCCGGAGACTTGAATGCTCAAGTCGGGCGTCTAGGCACAGAAGAGTCGTTTAGGTGGCCGATGGGGACTCGTTGGTCGTAGGTCAGATAACGGGAACCGTCTACTGCAACTGTGCACAGACCACAACCTGTTTCTGGCTAGCACTAACTTTCGGCACAGTCATTGCCGATGTGCCAGCTGGCGTCCTCCCTCTGCATCTCAAGCCTGAACTCAGATTGATCACATCGCGATCAGCTACCGCTGGCGTGGTTGTGTACAAGACTGCCGCTCCTTTTGGAGTACCTATCTGTACTCTGAACATGACTTGGTCTGCGCCAATCTTGCCTTACTTTTCAGTGGACAACGAAGTGACCACCATCAACGGATTGATATTAGCAAGCTGGTTGCAACTTCTGTTGCAAGTAAGTATCGAACCGAGCTAGCCTCTAGGCTAGTTACCACTCCACCGAAAAGTATAGATGAGCATTGGTTGCAATTGCATAACGCCATGAAAATGGTTGGTACAGTCAGTTGTGGGTTCGCGAAACGTCCCGCTTTTAAGCACTGGGTTTCTTCAGGCTCCTTACAACTCATTGAATCCCGTCGGTCTACTCCGGGTGACCGTGAGTTTGACCATAAACGAAGGTTTTTACGTAAGGAAATCGGGCAAAGCTTGCGTAAGGACCGAGAAGCCTGGTGGTCGAAGCGTGCTAATGAGCTGGAAGCAGCAGCTGCATCTGGTAACTACCGGGAGCTCTTCCAACTCATCCGAGCCACTGGCAGCAAGAAGTCTGGTGTGAGTGAAACAATCTATGAGGATGATGGGATGCCAATCACTAACATCCATCGACGTCTTGGACAATGGGCAGAATTTTTCGAAGAGCAGTTCAACTGGCTTGCTGCTGCGGCAAAATCGGTTAGACTGTCCTGCCATCCATGGCCGGTGACGACTGATCCACCAAATGAGGTGGAAGTCCGCAAGGAACTCCAACTCTTGAAGCGTTACAAATCACCTGGCCAAGATGACTTACCTCCGGCTCTTTTCAAAGATGGTGGTGACTTTTTGACTAAGGAATTGACGACTTTGTTTACAAAGGTTTGGGAACTAGAGAGTATACCAACGTCATGGAATGAGTCGATAGTTGTCCCTATCTTTAAAAAGGGTTCACGTCGTTCCTGTAACAACTATCGGGGGATAAGTCTACTTCCGATTGCATCCAAGCTATTGGCTTCCGTCATACTTCGTAGGTTGTTCAAAACCCGAGAAAGATTGACTCGCGAGGAGCAGGCTGGGTCTCGTTCTGGTCGAGGGTGTATTGATCATATCTTCACCCTCCGCCAAATGTTAGAACACCGCCATACTTATCAAAGGCCAACAATCTTAGTGTTTCTTGACATCAGGGCTACCTTCGATTCGTTGGACAGGACTGTTCTCCGGGATTGTCTATTGAAGAAGGGTGTGCCTGAGAAGTTTATTAACATCCTAAAAGCCCTATATACAAACACCTCAGGCAGAGTGAGGGCATACAACCACCTCTCTCCATTGTTCCATTCGAGCAGTGGGGTTAGGCAGGGTTGCCCAATCTCACCATTCCTCTTCAACTTTGCCATCGATGACATTCTAGAAACAGCTCTGATGAATGTAAGTAATGGTGGTGTGGATCTGTTGCCTGGAGAAAGACTTCTCGACCTTGAGTATGCGGATGATATTATCTGACTGTGCGACAATGCCCAAGGCATGCAATCCGCACTTAATCAGTTGGCAATCAGTGTCCGTAGGTATGGTATGTGCTTTGCACCTTCGAAGTGCAAAGTACTTCTACAAGACTGGCAGGATTCCAATCCTGTACTCACACTGGATGGTGAGCAGATAGAAATAGTCGAGATGTTCGTGTATCTGGGTAGCTGCATAAGTGCTGGTGGGGGTGTGAGTGACGAGATTGATGCACGTATAGTGAAAGCCAGAGCGGCTTATGCCAATCTGGGCCACCTTTGGCGCCTTCGTGATGTTAGTCTGGCTGTAAAAGGTCGGATCTACAACGCGTCGGTGAGAGCAGTTTTGCTCTATACCTTACACCAATCTCTTCGTTATTGTTCTCTTTTTTTGCGCCCCTTAGCTTTTTTGTCTTTCTATTTCTTTTCGAATTCTCATTGTTTTGTGTGGCGCATATATATTGGCGCTCTCTTGTACCAATATTCATGTGTTCAAATAAATAAATAAATAAATAATAAGTACTTCAGTCTTGACCACTGAATAACAAAATTAAAATCAAATTAACTAATTGGTTCTATATGCAGATTTGTTTGTTTCCACAGAGTTATATGAGACTTAAAATTTTAGACATAAAAAAACATATCATTATTTAATCTGTAGACCTCATGATATTTACTCTATAAAAATGAAAATAACTAACACAATGATTTTCCCATTCGGTTAGATGTTCAGCAATAGCACGAAAAATTATTTGATTCATAACGAAAACCATTAAAGAATGTAAAACCCCAGGAATATACGATAATATTCCATTGGCGTTCGGATCAAATATTGCATCAGGTTCAGCGAACTGACTTACGAATCCTATATGAAACCATGGCGACTTTTCTGCTACGATAAAACCCTGTGAGAAAAGAAGTGAGATGAAGATAATATCAACAACAGCTAAGAGAGAAGCGAATGACACATGGATGTATGATAGCGTAGAAAAATTTCCATGAGTTCAACATCATACAGAGTGTATTAGAATGTTTACCTTTGCTATAGAAATAAAGCTAACGCAATTAAACTAACTTAATTCAGTGTCAAAATGTGCCGATTTATGGCGTTAGACACAATTAGGCAGTACAATAACAAAAAATCTAAGCGATAATATGGAAGTGAGAAGGTAAAAGATAAAAAAGGACAGCAAAATACGAAAAATGACCTATAATCCGACACTTTTGTTATCTTTAAGAAACTAGTCAACTATGTTTTATTCAACCGTAATTAGCTATACCATTTTGTGAAAAGTTCTAACCTGTCCAAAGGTTTCGAATACTATGCTAATACTGTGTCGAAAGTATCAATCATTTTATTTCTTTTAGGTTCACAATCGTGATAACAGAACACTCCTATTGTATGGAAGCAACTTTATCACTGAAGACGATAAAACGCACATACCAAGTATCAGTTGTATAATTTTTTAGGGCTAGTGGCAACAACAGGATTTCCAAACCTAAGTAGGTGGAGTGAGGTTCAAACCTCAGATTTATTGTATTGAAATCTAAATGCTTTAAACATTAAATCACCGTTGAACCCCCGAGATCGTAGCTAACCATACGAATAAGTTTAAGGAAAACAGTACACGTAGACCTTCCTATTGAGAAAACAGCTGGACCTGACAACGTACCACCTGAAGCACTGAAGCCATATATGGAAGTAACTGCAAAGATGTTCCATTCAGGGAGATTCGGGAAAAAGGAACAAGTGCCGAGAGATTGGAGAGAAGGACATCTCATTAGGTTACCAGAGAAAGGAGATCTCAGAAACTGTGACAACTACAGTGGAATCACACAACTATCGGCACCAGGAAAAGTATTCAACGAAGTGTTGCTGAAGCAGGCCGGATTCCACAAGGACCGCTCAAGCACAGATCAAATCGAGACACCACGGATCATCGTTGGACAATCAACTGAATGGAACTCGTCACTATACATTAGCTTCCTTGACTATGGGCAGCATTCGACAATGTGGATAGGAAAACATTACGGGAACGTTTTCGACACTATGGCGTACCTGAGATCGTCAACATCATCCAGAATTTAAAGACGGTCTACACTGCGAAGTCGTGCATGGATGACAGTTGACAGATGCATTTCAAGTGCGGACCGGAGTCAGGCAAGGTTGCCTGCTCTCTCCCTATCTCTTCCTTCTGGTGGTTAATTGGATTATGACGACCTCCACATCTCAGGGGAAGTACGGAATACAATGTACAGCTTGGATTCGACTAGACGATTCAAACTTTACAGATGATCTATTGCTTCTATACCATACACATGAACAAATGCAGATGAAGACAGTCAGCTTAGCAGCAGCCTCTGCAGCATCAGGCCTCAGCATACACAGAGGAAAAAAGCATGATCCTGAAATACAACACAGAGAGGACTAACACAATCACACTTGATGGAGAAATTCTATAAGAGGTGGAAAGTCCCACACATCTAGGCAGCATCATCGATAAACAAGGAGGATCGGATGCAGACATTAAGGCGAGGATTGGCAAAGCAAGGATAGCATCCCTACAGTTGGACAATATATACAACTCAAAACAACTGTCAACCAATATCAAAATCAGAATCTTCAATACGAACGGCGAGACAATTCTACTGCACGGAGCTGAGACGTGGAGAACTACCACAATCATCATCTAAAAGGTTCAAGTATTTCTAAACAATTGTCTACGCAAGATACTCAATATCCGTTGGCCGGATATCACCAGCAACAGCCAACTGTGGGAGAGAACAAACCAGCTTCCAGCTGAATAGGAAATTAGGAAAAGACGTTAGAGGTGAATAGGACATACATTAAGGTAATCACCAAACTGCATCACTAGGTAAGCACCAACTTGGAATCCGGAAGGGAAATGGAAAAGAGAAAGGCCAGAAGAACACGCTATACCGAGAATCGGAGGCAGACATCACAGGAATGAGTAGCAACTTGAAACAAATCGGAGAGGATTGCCCAATACGGAGTTCGATGGACAATGCTGGTGGGAGGCTCGTGCACCTCCACAACGGGTAGTAGGAGTAAGTCAGTTTAAGGAACAATCATTTCTACTAATTTATATCTATGTCGAAACTAATGCGCACCTAGTCTGCTTTCTAAACCTCTTCTACATCTTAATTAATTATTAAAAGTATTGAGACATACCATAAATATTTCTCCAATATTGTGAATACATATAGCAAACTAATGCTTTAGATACGTTCATAAATTACGATTGACCTAAATAAATTGAAAAATTCTTGCATATTTAAAAGTAGGTTCTTATCAAAGAATGATATTTTTTAAAATTAAACATTGAAAATTGTGGATAATTAAGAAAAAGAGATCCAGTCTTATTCTTGGCATCTAAAACAATAAACATACGTGATCCGATTTGAAAATTGAATCACTGTGAATTTAATTTTCTATTACCGATATTCTAGGGTTTGAATTAGTGTAAAGTAAATTTTAATAAAACTCAATATAATTTGACTTACTCTCCAATGTTATGTAATGCTATTATTTTTTTTCGTAGGACACTAAATTAGTTAAATAAACCATAATATTTTGTATTAGGGATTATCATAACTCTTTTAGATAGATGACTAAAGAAAAAATTTAATGAATAGTTAAGTAACGTGAATAACTATTTGTTCTTTCATTTTAATTTGCTTACTATTGATTTGTGATGATATTTTGATTATTTTCACTTCTTTTCAGTGTACAATATTTACTGTTTGTGTTACTATACAATACTAAAGGTTTTAAGATGTAAGTATTATTTACATAAAATTTTATGCATATAATATTACTATCGAAATATGCTTGAAATTAGTAAAACTATCAAAATATAATAAATACTATACTATATACTAAAAGTTTAGGATTATTTCTCGACTATTATAGTGGTCTAGTGATTAAGCGCTCATGCGTGAGACTGATAGGTCCTAGGTTCGAATCCCGCGAGGCGGGGTCGTGGGTGCGCGCTGCTGAGGAGTCTCACAATAAGACAAGATGGCCTTCCAGTGTTTCCAGGTTTTCCATAGTGATCTAGCTTCAACTGACTCATCATCGCAACTATTGAAATTATTACATAAGCACTTAACCATATAATTTACATAAATAAAAAGATAATCAAATCTAATAATGACTGAAATGGATGAATATAATGAACATAAATTAATCATTAAAAGACAATATTCTTCTGATATGATGATGAAAGTAATGAAAAACCAAAACACAATGTACATTTTAACACAGACAAAGCTAAGAATGCTAAAGGATGTCTTAGAGTACAATTAAGTTCATTGTCTGGTCAATTTCTTTTCTGATATCAAGTGTGAGCTAAAGTACGATAAAGGTCACAAAAATTTAGTGATTACGTTAAGAAACGATACAAAATGATGATATATTTGATTGTCTAAACTATATAATATCATAGGTTTACTTAGTGGAAGTTCTCGGGGTAGGAAAATGTCATTATAACCAGTTCGTGTTCAACAATATGCAATAGCCTTTACTGCTGACTGATACCTATATATCAACTTGCAATGTTGCTCAACTTCCCTGTATACTTCGACTCTGAATCTGACAGAAAACATCCGTTTTCTCAAGAATGGAAACACACCTTTGTAATGAATGTTAATTAAGACGAAACATGTATTCAAGCACTCCTCAAGATTGTTTCTAAACACTAAATACTCAATTTTATTTATTATCTGTCAAATAATTTATGTTAATATCTTATTCTCTCAGTTTGAGCTTTGCAATTTTGAAACAATCCACCGCTATGTGAGATTATTTGTTTCAGCCAACTGATCAAAAGACTTTATATAAGTAGATACAAGCTTACAGGAATATTTGATCACAAGAAGTAGGAATAATCCTAGCAATTGCTGAAAAAGCAGTAAAGTTATTGGTACAATAAAATGTTGAGATAACTGCCGAACTGGTAAATGTAATGCTGAGACAGCTGGACATATAAACTTTGATCAAATAAAACATCATGTTTTAAAATGATGAAGTTATCGTAATAAAACAAAGCAAAACATAAAAGATGCAAGTAAAATAGTATGACTGTGAATTACTTATTAGATTAACAATATATAGTGAATAATGAAAACAGTCGTCAAACAATAATCGATTCAAACCATACAATAATCATATATTTCAAAAAGTTAGTCAGTTAACGACGACTCACAAATAGTTTTCGTCTTTTTACTTAATACCCTACGTCCCTATCCTCAGCAACACTCATTTGATTGTTCTTTCATGTGTTAACAGTTTTGAAGACATCTATAATCAAATACTACTAACCTATTTATCTCCTCTACATTGGAAAATAATGCTTCACAGCTATAAGATAAAGCACACCGAAAGGTTGGGCAGACTACTTTCCTTTTAATAGGTAGAGGGTTCTTTCGCATGTTATTATGAAACTACGCTAAACTGAGCAGTTTGATCATACTGTGATACTGACAGTGTGACTACTAAAAATAGTGCCTAAAAGCTTATCCAAGAAATAGGACCGTTTCATTGTGCATTAAAACAAATAAATCTTTTAAACAGATCAACTTGAAAAAATATTAGTATGTAGAATTACGAAGATGTACGGTATCTTCGTGAACTTTAAGCATGAATGTTGAATACTTCAAAAGAAGACTGACTGGACGAGAAGAATTGAGAATTAATTCACTTCACCAAAAACATCCGGAGATAGTAAATTTCAAAAGATTAAAAGGCGCCTATCCAATAAATTCTATTAGAAAGTTTGAACAGGCTACAACTCTTCAGTTGACTGTCGACTATACAATTTGTGAAATATACTAATAATATATTCGTGTTTAACACTAAAACTTTAGAGATGAATCAAGATATTTATTATTGATGTGGTAGTGAAAGTATGATTGGTTGGTGAGCATGGACAAACAGGCACTTAGCTTACTGACTATTAAATATGTGATTTCCTGCTATTGATTTCTACTCAGGACTCAATAAGTTTGACTGCTTGTAACTGTGTTGAATAGATTATTAACTAGTATTTATCTGGTTTTCTACTCTGAGTTGTGAATCTTATACCTGGCATAACGTGACTAGTCTCATAATCATATAACGTATTATCATAGTATACCTAAGAGAGAAAAATATTTTAAACTATCCGTGATTTTAATTATATGTATAGGTTTGTATTTTGTTGTTGTTGATATTGACTACAATTGATTAATTTTGTATTAGGGTATGTAAATCTTGAAAGGATTGTGTCTTGGGTTCGATTGATAGCAAAAATTCAGCTATACTAAATCCATTATATTAAGAAAGAAATTATAGTGACACTGTATAGGTTATTATTGAAATATAGGCAGCATATCCCATCCCAATTTTCATTCGTTAAATGTATATAAATTACAATGTGACACATTGCTCCCACTTGATCTATCAACCAATGGTTATTGTTTCAAATGTCAGAACAGTTCCATGTTAAAAATTAGAGCTTTCTTTTTTTTAAATCTCAATTTTCATAAACTAAATGATCTTCAATTACTTAACATTAAGTATATAAATGACAGTTGTAATTCGCTGATAATACATCCATTGACTTGAAAAAGGTTTCGTCTTCTGGAATCTATTTATCTAGGATGTGGGCAATGTTTTGGTGGGCGAATTAAAGATCCACCATTTAGGTTTACCTCAATTGTACCTCTATAACAAGTAAATAACTCTATTAAAGCATTCTGCGTAATGATAAGATGACTTACTTCCATATTCAACAGGGCAATATTTACAAATATAGCCCATAACAAACATCCTAATGTAATGAAACCGGATGCCACATAACGTAATCGACGTTTAGCTGCGGGATAGTGCAATTCCATCAAGCCAGTAACGCGACTTTGTCTCCAAGTGCCGTGAAAAGTTGGTCTCTGATCAATAAAGTTAAACAGCCAAGCTAAGTCATTTGCTGCTAATTCAATTAAGGCATTGCCAGACCATCGATCGACACAAGAAATATACTCACGTTGCCACAGTTTAGTACAGATAACAGCCCATAATATCATGAAAATAGTATAAACTAAATGAATTCCTAGTGATACTTGCTTATCTTCAAAATGTTGACCATTTAGTAAATTGAACACTTGACAAAATAAACCAGCGATTAACGGACAAGTTAAATAAACACAATAAGACTTCATCCAAACAAAATAAAATCCAATTGAATCACCAAAATACTGACGTAATTTCTCCGAATTCGGAAATACATTTAAAGTGGAGAAATGATCGGTCCATATAGATCGTCTTTCCATTTTGTCATGACTTCTAGTTAAATTAGATATTAGTCCTAAATACTCTAAGATGAATAGAGCTGGACGATTTGATAAAATATACTCATCAATATTATTAATCAGATTTAAGGACAAACCCAAATCACATACAAGACTTTTAATATGTGCCTTAGACAAAACTAAACTACGAATAGCGAGTTCGGCAAGCCAAGCTGTTTGCCCATCGGTTAACTTTTGAACACAATTATTGAGTTCTACAAGGTATACACAGAAAAAGACAAGAAGGAAAGTAACCAAAATGGTTTAATAATTAATCAAAAACTCTTTAAGAAGTTAGTAGTAGTCGTAAAAGCTTTGATGATAACGCGTATTTTTGTTTTGGTTATCTCTACAGGTGCACAAATTTATAAAACTATCTGGAAGCCAAGACCAAAATGTTATGGTTGACATACTGATACCTTCACATATGGATTCGGATTAAATTTCTCTTAACTCGAATGGTAAACAGGAATGGGCGAACTGGAAACTTGAAATTGTGCAAATAATTAGGACTTGGTTGTTTAAGGCAGTAAGCCTTTTCTGTGTAAATATTCGGTGACACTATAGTTAGTTTTTAAAAATGAACCAGGAAAATCAACCCAAGGCACCGAACCCAAGAAATGAGATCAGTTAATGAAATCATCAACTGCTAGTCTGAATTGTTCCGGAAAGTGTTAACACCTTGATAGAAGTTTGGCTAATCTATGATTGGAGGCAATTCTTGAGTCCAATATTATTTCATACGTTCATGATTTCAATGATAGGTTTCACTCTTAAAATTCAATCATACCTTTAAAGTAAATTTTTCGTATTTACTTTTCTAATATAGTTGGCAACATTGTTTCGACATTATTTATTTCCTCTTATTGAGTTGATACAAAGCGTGGGAAATTCGGCTGATACAAATATGCACCAGGTTTTGTCTTGTTTATTAGTGACTGATTCGAATATTTTAGGCATATTTTACCACTCATAATAAACCCCTTTACAAATGAATTAGGGGTTTGATAAGTGATTTTTGAAACATCAAAGCTTTTGATAAACCTTACCTATGAAAACGGGTAGAATACCTTAATGACATAACTAAAATCCACAGAACTATTCAACTAATCGTCTACACCTAAACGTATTCACTCTTGAAGAGATAGTAAACAATTGTTCAACGGGTTACAGAATACGTATAAAAACGGAATAAAAAATTAAACAACTAGCAAACTGAGTAACCTTATTGATAATTCCTGAAAGTAATGGTTAACACATTAGCTGTATAATATGAACTTATGATCGTGAAACATTCACTTTTTGCTGGAACTCCACACTAAAATCCCACCTACGAAGTACAATCAGGCGCATATATACATCAGCTTAAGCTGCCACACCTCATTAGCACAACGAGATGAACATCAAATTCATATTAGTTACATCAATGATAGTAATGTATACAAGAAAGATTGTGCATAAGGATACAATAAAGGAACAAAGAATTATTTCGTAGAAAGAAAGGTATAAAGCGATTTTAATCTCGCGGTTTAAGAGAAGACAAAGAGTGTATACACCGACGCCATTGTGGTCGATTCTAAGCCATTTCACCCAGTCTCTAACCACTGGTTATGATAGTCACGCGGAACCCAACCAAGTAGTCTCCATCTACCAACATGGCTAGAAGACTGATGCCGTCTTGGTTTGGCCGCCTTTAACTTTCTTCCAACCATTTCCAAAACTAGTCAGCATTGCGCGCCGTGGTAAACGGTGGTCCGGCATACGTAACACGTGGCCCACCTATCTCAATCAATGAAGATTTACAACCTCATCAACTGATTTACCATCATTCCCTGATATCATGTGTCAAACCTCACGATTACTTACCCAGTGATCCCAGCAGATGTTGGCAATATTTCTAAAACATACCAACTTATGAGCATCTTCTACCCTTAATGAACACGTTTTGCAGCCGTAAAGTATAACAGAAAGAACTGCTGCACAGTATACTCGTCTTTTAATTGATAGACGAATATCTCGCCTTCGCCACAGGTGACGTAAGTTGGCGAAAGCCAAACGAGCTTTTTTAATCTGTGTAGAGATTTCTTCAAACACCAACCCATTGGAGCTGATCAGATTTCCAAGATAAGTGACTTTGTCGACGCCGTCAACTACGTCACTCCCTATCCTATTAAAATCTAAGCCATTGGAATAAAGAAATTGTTACATACTGTAGAAACCTACAAAAAATATCTTCTGTGGATTCACAGATGACTAATTAAAAACCTGGAAATTATCACTTAAGTGTGTTGATCATAGGTTCAGAAGCCTTTATCAATACAAAATATAGCACAAGATATTTGGTGAAGGGTGATAGAAGTTAGAAATATATATGGTAGCAACCCCAATTTCATTGATTGCTGATTTCAATTTCATGGAACGAGCGATTAACTACCTGATTCAAACTGACACAGATAAATAAAATTGAAATTTGGAGTCATTAATTGTTGCTTCTGAAAGTTAGCTGCAATGATACGAATAATTTCTTTGTTTGCCCATGAGTTTGAGGTAGGTCATCATCATATATTTAATCAATCTAATCACAACAAGATTTGTAGAATAAAATAAATGGATTTAATTTCATTAATCATTTATCAACTATGTATTTGATGCCCCTTTATACCAATATTTGTGTGTTCAAATAAATAAATAAATTATCGGTTATACCTCAACTAAGATAAGTAATCTGAATATCAATAAATGTAGGTTTTTAGACGCCTACGTAATACATTAAATGACATGTTTAATGTTTATAAAGGTCTATTTAACCCTTTTGTGTGGCTTAAAGCAGTATATTAGACAAAAATTGTCAAAACAGCTCTGAAGAAGTACAAAGTTTCAGAACATTTAACTATGGATTTATTCCTTTACTGAATGCCATTAAATGATAACTAACCTTGTTTATCGATTGATAAATCCGGTCTTAGTAATGATGCACATTGTTTAAGCCACAACTTTGGTATATATATCAGAACAAAGTGTGTAGAATGACCACAATTATTCAAATCAGTTGGTGTTTCATCAATTGTACAACAAGATGTAAATACTGGCTGGTCATCACACTCAATGTTAATCTGTCTGTCAGTAGGAACAAAAGTTGACATTAGACGGTTTTCCATAATGGACGTTTTAAGACATTCAGCTAGTCTATGAGCAACACGTACTTGATAAGTATTATCGGAATATTTTGGATGTTTTAACGACTTTGGGACTGCGAGACAGAACCTAACACCAGTAGTAGACATGGTTTAATTTTTGTTTGTCAGCAACAGCAAAATATTATCTGTTTCAATGAAAGTGAAATATTTTTCAATGCACTGACCGGTAAACAATGGAAATAAATACTTAATACAAAGAACAGGAAAAAGGACAATACTTCAACTTAAGAAAAGCAACTGGGGTCAAAAACAAGATTTTCTAATTATCTAAAAGGATATGTAACTTCATGAATTGGAAAAAACAGCTATCGTTACTATTATCTCTAAACAACCAACTACCTTATATTGGCATTATGAGGCTCTAATTGTGTGTAAATACTTACTCTAAATAGTTATTTCGAGTAACTCTATCTCTAAGAAATACAAATTTTAAGGCTAATTTTTTAATACCGGAAGTTTAGCATGATTGCACACTTCAGATAGTAGATCATAACTAATATATGGGTTACTGAAAAACGTTACCCCACTAAGGTGTATGTTTATGTAAAGTCCACATACGATAAGCATGGGTTGATTAGAGTTTTTATAGATAAAGTACGCATAATTTCAAACTACTTACAAATCAGAGGGATAAATGACAGCTGTATGATATATTTACACAATTATTGACAAATATAGAAATCTACCAAGTAAACTTAGTAATCACTGAAACTAATGTTCTCGGAAAAACCTATGAACGTCTCAAACTAATTCTGTCAAATGAAAACTAAATATATTGCAAAATTATTTGAGAAAAACATGTTATTACACCGTTTAGCTTCTAGCCTTCATTATCATTTCGTAATATTCAGGACCCCTAATATCAGTCAGTCAAATGCAAAGTATAACCTGGTAAGCATCCACATCGGTTCAAGTTTCCATACCCCATTAGCGCAGCGAAACGAAATTATTAGAGCTACTTTCGAAGTCGTAAATATAGTACAATATTAGTGTTAATATAAAAGAACATGATTCCTAACGCAGAACATTGCATTCGTCTCCCTAATGTAATGGGCCTGGTACTTACAGCTACTGTTTTCGGTGATGATTCTTCAGAGATTACATGATAGATTACAGAACCAAACGTTTTAGAGATAAGTGGAGATGTAGTTCTAAATGTTGAGGAAGCCCCAAAGCAACAACGCTGTACTGAGACTTTAAATCAGATAACGCTTCGATGCATTTTATTGTCACCTTAAATGGTTAAATCACTTTTGTTTTTGAAAGGAAAAAATTATCAACCATACTAAAACATCCACTATGTATCAGATGATCATACAACACAACCTGAGGAAAAGGTGAGAATATGCTTTAGATACATATGTTTTGACTGAGCCTGGTAATAAAAAACCCAAACAATGGTATATAAACGTCAATTTCCTAAAGTCATAACACAACTCTAAGGCATATAACACTGAGTACATACAAACACTGAAATCCAAGTTTTTAAGAAAAAATAAGAACTTAGGAAAAATGTTTATTAGAAAAATTTACACATAATAAAGCATACAAATCACAAAATAAGTTGTGTACAAAGGGAGGAAATATACCTTGTTTTATGGACAATAATGTTTAGAAGTTAAGTGAACATAAAGCAGAAGTGGATAACAAAATATCGTGCAAGCTCTTAAGCAACCATCATTTTGCAGCCTGGAATACGTGCACCGGAAGAAACTCGGAGAGAATCTATTCGTGCCAATAAATTGACGGTCTTTGGAACGAAAACACAAAATTTCAGGCACTCATTGTGTAGATTCTGTGCATCTCGTATCATACAGTTATGTAGTTTCTCAAGATATTCCTTATATCTTCTGACGCGGCACAGTCGACGTACGTTGAGCCATCTGGAGCTAGCCCTAGCTTTGCGCCCTGAAAATACACTTATTAAGCCAATAAGGAGTTACATTGTTGAGCAGCAAAGATACGCAATCTATATGACCCTCATATATGGCTGCAAGCAAAGGTGTAACTCCAAAACTGTCATTAACCTACAAACCTTGAATCAGTGAAAAAATAACTGGAGCATACATTTAAATCTGCACCATTTCGTATGAGGTAATCACATATTTCTTTCTGTCCATAGTCAGCAGCATAGTGAATTAGAGTTCTTCCATTTTTAAAAGTAGAATTAACCCCAGACAACTAAGTAATAATTAAATAACTGTAAACGCGTACATTATTCATGTTTTCTTTTATCGATTGCAAGTCACCATTTTTAACAGCCCAGAGCAACTGTTCATAATGCATATCGACACAACCAGCTGACTTCGAGGTCACAGGTTAACTGGCCGCTTAGTAGGGAGTAAAGAATTAGGCTAAACAAAATCAAACTGTAGTCGTTCAAATTAGTCGTCCATTTGAACGTTGATGCTTATTCAAAAGAAAACAGTCTAATTTTTGGTCAAATATTACCTTGTTGGTAATTATTTTTGTAATTCAATTATTTGTCTTTAAAATAGAAGCTATTGTTGAATGAGGTACAGTTTCCGGTATAAATGAACAGCCAATTCATATAGAAGCATGACTCAACAGGTATAAAAGAGAAATATAAAACGGGATGTTAGTGCTCTAGAACGTGTTTCCAAGCTGGGTCATTGCAAAAACCTGTAGCGGTTCAAATGGTTCAAATGGTTGTATATGGAATGAAAGGAAATTACACCTAACGAGTTTCACGTTCCTCATAAACTGTGAACTGACGTCTTCGAACTTATTCTGTAGCTTTCTATTGCATATGCCTTGTAATTTCCGAATTCTTTTGGAATAAATTTGGAAATACTCCACTTTCATAATCTATATAATGTCGAATAAAACTACTAAAAATTAGCTGAAAAGCTTCTGGTTAAACTTGGCTAAAATAGGCCTCAAACGTTTCTCGAAAGCCATCATTTTCACCGTTAGTATGTAATTTTAAATTGCATGGTAACAAGACATCAAGATTTTTCCTGATTAATAAAACTTCTAGAGTGGAATTATCTAGGTTGCATGTATAGTTCTCAGAATATCACAAGTAGACTTATTTGAGTCTTGAATAGTTTAGGTGAAATTCATTATTACTCACTCGAATTTGAAATCAAGTCATGTCATACTGAAGTGCTAGCCTGTCATCCTGGTCGCGAACTTCCTTTCGAAAATCAACACCACCCGACTTTATCCCATATTTATACATTTAATCTCAAATCTGACTATAATCCTGAACTTATTTCAGTCAGCACTCAGAATGTGGCTACCATCAACTCATCCTGTTGTGGTTTGTTAACATCGAAGTCACGTACTGTTGTGCAGAGACCGACTTTCACAAGTACAGTGTAATTAAACTATGTGTAGTGTTCCTTGTGGAAATAAATCAGCTACCGTGAGAGTTGACTGAGTGCGTTACATCCGTGATGTTTACCAGAGATTTGTCAAAATCTGACGAAATCCTAGAAGAGCTAACCATAAACTAGGAGAACCAGTGGATCGATAAAAATCAAACAAAACTTTTCACAATATAATTCAGGACATGGTTTTGTAACTAAAATGCTTTTACGAATAGTAAAAGCCATGAGGAAATTTTATAGAGGCTTCTTCAGAAAAATCCCTTTGCTTTGGTTTTCACCACAAGTAAACTCCAACCTTGTTTCCTTGCAAAATAAAATGTTCGATACCCTAGCTTAGTCTTACAACCGAATTATGGTTATCACCAGGACTCACAGCGACCTGATTTGCCTCGTGAAGGAAATAATTCAGAGGACTCAAAATAAAATTACGGATCATCCGTATATTATATCTTAACCCTCAAACTGACCACACACGCGCCAGAACTCTCCAAAGATGTACACTACACAGAATATCTGCTCCACATATTTAAAGAACGTAGAACCCTAAATAATGGTGATACTAAAGCACTACAAGACGTCATCCCACACTGTTGAGAGCCCCATTCCAAATCCCAGTGGCACTACGATTATTTCGAAAAACTCATTCGTCAGTGAGCATTAGTCGATGGATATAGCAGTCTGCAATACGTGGTAGGGTAGTCCATTGATCAGTCTTTATTTTATTGATATGGAAAGTGAATCTGAAGCTCTTGAAGGAATGTGGATCAAGATTCACATAATGTATGTTCACATTAGTCTCACATTCAACAATCAAAATTCTTCCACGTTAGTTAGCTATTTATTACTGTTAGTAGAACTACCACTACTCGTTCATACGAATGACTAAAACTGAATTGCTTCCACTGTAACTCCACAAATCTTAAAAGTAGTGCTTGCCACTGTATTACTGCTCATAATTTGTCTAACAGAAGAATTGATTGTAGTAAATACAAGCCAAGAAAATCAGTCATTTTTGGGTATCCATGACTTGTTTTACCTATACGTATTTAAATATTTATTTTTCATGTTTCTATGACTTCAAACCAGAGAATACCACTCAATAGTGAAAGCTTTTCGAACAAAATACTGCCCTCTAACTCATTTGAGCTGTGTGCTTCCGGAGGCGGAGTAACTTACTTAGACAATATATAACACTCTTTGAGAAGCAGCCCAATAGCTACATTCTTCAACGTGGATCAGTTATTAGTGATCACATTATGATTGATCTGTCATGGATGACTACAGTAACTTAGTTTCTGGTTGATTTTTAGAAATATACCCCACACTATAATACACAGAGCAGGCTCACTCCAAAAAATGAGTCTACAGTGCTCGAATCATTTTACTTGCTCTACTTAAACTGTAGAATTCTGGAATATGATTTCCGGCATTTTAGGTGTACGAGCATAAAAAGCGCTTGATGACCTACTTTTCAACATTTCTTGTGCTCTCTGGTCTGTGCAATAGTCTACAATACAGAAGGAAAAGGTTTCTATGCGTAAATTCTATTGTTACCATTGCCAACCATTAAGGTTCGGTGCAGATACTTGGGTTATATAAAAGCATAAATAAGTTTGCCCAAATCAAAAATATTGCGTACAGTAATTTGCAGAATAATTTTTCCAGCATAAACGAAGACAGTGACTACATATGCCTACGGTTCTCGTCTTCATGTTGTTAACGTCCATTTGCTTTTTTAGTACTAGTCAACCAACAACATTTCTATCCACA